CTGCACTCTAAATTACTTTCACGTAGTCTTACAACTGAGCGCTACTAATGAAATTCCCTTAAAATTCAGTATACATAAGTCTGATTCGTTTCGCCTTTGCAGTGTTCCCATAGCAACAAAACCACGCCCATTTCGTTTGTTGAGTCACAAGTCTGGAATCTGCTCAGGTGTTTTCTCTGTGCAGATCTGTCACTTTTTCCGGTACATTGGCACTTGTTTATTGCTGTGTTTATGTGTGGCTTAAATGAGGTTTTCTCCAAGATAAAACAGTTCCTAAGGTTGTTATTATACCCCAAACTTGTTCTTCCTCTCTGGTACTAAAAATGTTGTGATACGCCGTCATAAAATCAGACAAGACAAGTTGAAATAATTACCGAAAATCTTACTTTACTCGACCTATGTTTGGAAGTTACCTGTGTCGGTGAATATACTTCAGTTAAGTTATGGGCTATGAGCTAGGAGGTTGGAATTTGATCCCCGGCAGAAGCCTTCCCTTCGCCTCCCTTTCTCGATTGTGCCTCACCGAGGACTAGAGTTGGCTCACCTGTGTAACTAGTGCCGAGGTCCATGATGCTTGAAATTACCTCCACGCCCCATAAACGTCGTCATATTGTAGTAGTCAGACACAGAGCAATCTTATTAATGATATTTTCGTCGTCGTCTAGGTCTTTACTGATATTTGCCAGGTCTCTGGTCCTAAATTTTAACCCTAGACCTCCCAGAGGGAAGAAAGGGTGTTAACTGCTCAATCACGACGTTGGTGAAGATCCTAATATAACACATGAGGATGAAAGGCCCTTACGAGATTTATATCCTCTCATTTACACAAACTGGCCTGACTGCTTATTTTATTATTACGTTATAATTTTTAGACATTCTCCACTGCGTAAGGTAACTGTACGTATTTTCACGACGTATGGGGAGTTGGCTCTGCTCCCATACACCAGTTGCTGTTAACATACTGACTACGTTTTATTTATCTATTTTTGTTTTAGGGAACAGTGGCTAGGCTATGCGCAGATGGTGCTGTGATCCGTTACGCGTTTTGTTACTACCGAGTATTTCCAAGCAACTAATAAGTAAATTAATTTCGTTGTGAAAGGTAGTCAGTAGGCTCCAAGCTATTCCCGATGTTCCTGTCTCTAAATCTCTCTGAAGGAGGAAGAACGGAACTGAGGGTTGTTTGAAAACAAATTTCTGAGGAGAACGTTTGGTTCTAAGAGAGACGGAGTAAATTACTCAGGAGCTGGGAAAATTACGCGTTCTTCTTGAACTAGTTAGATTTTTAAGCTTATAAATCCTATTCCATCAACTCTCATCCAAGAATTTTGTATTTCCATCTCTTTCTGAGACAACCTCTGTAGAAAATTACGTAATTGGGGGACATATAACTTGTAGCCAGAAATACAGCCGGTGAAATTAAAGACATAAAAACGGTAAAATATGCTGGATGCACGAGAAAAGAAAGGAAAACATGCTAAAAGAACTAAAAATATAACATGTTTACACATAATTTTTAAATATAAAAGCAGTTTGATTCAACATGACAGAAAAACTTCAGGAACTGTTCAGTTACAAAGCAGACGGGTTATGGGATTGAGGACGACCTTTACAGAGACTGCCGGGTCACTGAGGGCGAAGCGGTCAAACGTTGGCCTAACAACTTTGACTGCTTGATGATGACGATTGGAGTTAGTATTCTTTGCCAATATAAGTGTGGTTGATGTGTCAGGATACTCAACCCCAATTATGAAATCGATAATTTAATTAATCGTTAAATAATGTGCAATTGTTCGGAAATTAACCTGGCCAGTCAGTTTGATGTTGTTCTTCAGGACTTTGAGATGAAGAAATGTGGACTTCGGTGGTGCCGCCGTGAGAACCTCATCTCCCGGAACGTTTGTCTGAGCCAATGTTAATCCGGGCTGCATTATTCAGTTGTTAGTTAACTAGTCAGTCCATTTATTCGGTTTTGTTGATAATTGGTGGCCCACGTGCCATGGGTTACCGACCGCTGTTAATGCGTCGTGAAGTGTTCCAGAAACACCATCATGATGCGTGTCCTGCTTTATGTTCACACACGGACTGCGAAATGTTCACCGGTGCATTGAATTCAGATTTGCCAATGTGACGCTGTAGTGCGGCCTTCCATATCGACAGTGGAAAGTCGATCTGACTAGGGGATCCGAAAAGTTAGGAAGTGCAGACAAGACGGCCTCCAGTTTATGCCGAGTGATTGGCTCTTCCTGTGTTTAGTAATGGTATACGCCTTGCAGCCGACTGATCTCCCAGTTTCGGGTTGCTTTAAGATTGGTCGTCTCATATTAATTTTTACCGGAAGGAAAAGATGATCTCTGATAACGTAACCTGAAGCTTCAACTTCATGATTCCAAAACCTCACAATGCGCCTTACCTTACCCTGAACTAGTTCAGTCATTTTCCTGTTTCCACAACACATTCAGCAAGTAGGATTGGATTGTAAAAGGAAACGTCGATAAATAATTTTGGGACAGCATGTCGTGGTTCTTCAGGACTAGTGGGCAGCGCTGTTTGAGCCTGCCTGGTATCTTTTTCGAAAATAAATACACGAAAATCATCAATAATTGGAACGTTCTTTGTCTGGCAAGTAGAAAAAGCGTGAGATTACAAAGCAGGGCACACAGATGAATGATACGCCGATTTAAAAGAACCTGTTTTCTGATACCCTCATCCAAACCCAGTAAGCTCACAGATGGCAGCACTTAACGACCTCACCAATTCAACCACTAATATTGTTTCCGCAACAGCAGTCTCCATAACGTGCTTGTTCAGGCCACACTCCTCCCTAAGAAACCATCACAACCAAGTACGTACAATTACCCACTTAAATATCCCATATTATGTATCGATTTATCCAAACAGTACTAATGTAGACACTTCATTTCAGGTTCCGTGGACAGATGTGCAACCGCTACTTGACTAAACACGTCTTAACTACATACACAAGTAAGTAATTACCAACAAGAAATATTTTAATGTAAATGCCCGAACAACAATTTGATAGCACACACACATAACACTTGTTCCAACGTAAATAGATATAAATAAATATAAAATTAAGGATTTAGACCTTCGGTAGTATGATAAGTGTGAATAATCTTGCTGCAAAATATTAACTCAATGCCTGGATAAAATGCATACATATTTATTCTTCCAATTAAACTTTTCCTTCATCTTAACTACTGTACATGCAAAAGGTAGATTGCAAATTGCAAATTTGATGTATATTTTATATGAACTGGGCAAAACACAAAGGTTTTAAGTATTTTAATGATCACGTAAACAGATCACAAGTATGGTTAAATACATCTATGTCAAAAAGTGCAGTTGTTATTTTGATTTGACGTTCCAATATATTCATGAAACACCCCAAGATGGCAAGAAGCCTAAACACATACTACTTGATCATATGTGATATATAAATGCAAGTTGTCTTGGAGGTCTTAGGGTTTGTTCGTTTCGTTTTTCGAGGATTTGCATAGACCGAAATCTGTCGAGTGTAGTAGTTCAGCAAATTAAATATACAGACTGACGGATATCATCTGAGTGTTCACTTTCTGAAAAGAATGCATAATCTACTTTAATCAGAGCGTTTCTTGAAAAGCTAACAGTCGCTCAGCAAGTTGCTTGTTGTCTAATGTACATTTTAATATTTGCCTCGCATCTGCTCCAAGATCTCCCCAAGTTTTCCGACTAAGAAATTACTTGCAGTTCACGTCTCCCCGTGCTTGCTGCATACCCCGCCCATCCCAGGTGAAGAATTTAAATTATAAAACTCTTCAGTATGATATTCTTTCTTGTTACTTTCTTCGTCTTAGGTCGAAGTACTTTCCCCGGCACCCTGCATTTCCGAAGGGTGAAATGATGTAAGTCATATTTATTTTCTGGGACAGTAGGAAAGACTGTGTTAGCTTTTTAATAGAATAGTACAACGCGTTATACTTTTTGGCTCTTAGTGACGTGCCCATTTTTTTATTGCCCTCGACCGGAACGCCTGTTTGAGACAAACAGTAGACTTGCCTGCCGAACATGACCGACTCGCGACGTGGCATTCGTAAACAGCTGATGTAAGAATCAACGACTGCAGTGTAATAATCGAAACTGTCATGAAATCTTAAGTCGTGCACTCGTGATGACGTCAGTATGTTACGAATCGTACTGGGCTGTAGACAAAATTAGCGATGATGCAGTTACATTCCAGGTATTCATTGCTGATCATTAAAATAAGTGTTCTTAAATGTTTTAGTTTTCGGAAGAAAATTACCTTTTTCTTGCGTGTTGGATCCAGAAATGGTTCTATTACAAAAGCACGACATAAATTGGTCCTAAAATGCCTTCAACCTGCGCCCAACAAATAAATTATTTTTTTTATATTCGTTTCAACAAGCTTCTATTCTCTCACTATTCTATTGTCGTGCAAGTGAACCGGTCGTCACTCTCCACCCATTCAGTTCTGGCATGTCCTAGGGGCCAGCAGTCCTGCCTGAAGATTTACGTGGTCTTTACCGGGATACCCTAGTGCCTAGCTTTAACAGTTCGTACATCTACTCTCCGAGAAAACTGAAACTGTCTAGCAGAACTCACGGCCGTATCTCAAGAAGGGATCTTCCACTTGTCGCATCATTTAACCGTTACTACAGACCTTCAGAAATTTTTATATTATGCGTGTTGACCCGCACAAGCACGAATTTCTTATCACATGACTGTACCGGTTAGGCAGAAGCACGATTTTTTTTGTCATAGTCGATGTACTGGTCGGGTAGGGAGTCAACACTACCAGTTTCCCTTTTCTCCTGTCGGTAAACAGAACTTGGGCGTGGTTACCTTCACATCACTTTACCATCGAGGAATGAACTCTAGTACCCGTTGAATAGGGTCTGACTGGGTCACAGAGCCCGTCTTGAAGTAGAACCAAAGATAAAAACACCCAAATCGTGTGAGATCATGTTTCGTGTTACTTCAGAATTTACGTCACATTCTACAGACTTTTGGCTGTTCCTTGGAGTAGGTTAAATTAACTTTATGTCCTATTCACTCCTTTTTAATATCTAACTAGTCTTCTAATCCTATAAATTATGAAGTTACTCGTCTTATTTCTCCATATCCACACAGAAATCGTTTTAAAACTAATATTGTCCTTCGCACTTTGCTTTCTCTCGCGGAGTATCAATCATGTTCGAAGGCCACAAGAAACACCGTTTCATTGTAAAATGTTCAGAAGAATAAGGAAGAACATGTGTCCACGTTGAAGCCATACACTGATCGCTGATTGGCTTAACCATTTTAAAGCTCGAATTTTATCTACAAAATATTCAAACATTCACTTGCTATCGTAAAGAAAACACAACGTGTATCCATTACAAAGATCAGTTGATTGTTGATATTTAGGGAAATAATGACTGATTATTGTGAGAATCCACACACTGCGGGAAAGATACAGAGTTTTTGAATGTTAAAGCAGGTGTTACGTGTATTTGCCACTAGGCTTTAAGGGTTAACTTGTAACATGTAACGAACATTTGCTTCCGAGAAACTCGGTCCGTCGCTTTCGTTCTTGAAACACAATAGGAGGAGAGCAAACATCACTCCTAGGTCTTTACGTCCGCCGCTAACCATTTGGATTAGAGGCTGGGTGGTCCATATAACCGTCCTTGAAGCAACAAGCTACGATAGGACTGTCAAAATTCTCCCGCGGGCTGAATACAGGATAGTTGACACCGGAACGAATTGCTTCGGTAACACACACGCATTCGACAGAAGTTCTAGGACTACAGCTCGTGAGCTGTTTGCCACAATCGTAATCCAAGAATTACGTACCGGTAACGATCTTGATTTGTATTTGGGTAGACTCAGAATGCCAGACTAATTTCTTTTCGTGGTTTTCCCTAATTTATTCTTCGACCAATTGAATAGCAACCCCATATTTGTCATAACATCTTCCAAACCGGATAGTTTCGTTCGGGTTATTGGATATCATGACAGATTTTCATGGTTTTCTTCTGTCCTTTCATCGGTAGTGTTGGGATAGTATTCTGACATATGCCACGACCTACACCTTCCTAATCCTTACCTACATGCCTTCTCTTAATTAATCAATAGAATGATTTTCGATTCGGTATTTAACTATATGGTAGGTGGTAGGCGGATGGCAGACAAAAGAGATCTTGGAACTAGATCTATGCACAAAAGCCCGCAAGTCTGCGTCTGCCACATTTTAAGCGTTGTTTAAAATAGAGAACGTAAAATGAACGCATAATGGTGAGATGTCTGTCTCTGTGTTTCATCTACAAAATTATTGAATGAATTTCTGGGAGATTTTGTACTGATTGTCTACATCAAAATGTGGAAGTTTGGTGTAGATTCTTATCCGTCTAGGACAGTCGTTACATTTATGATAGTCTACTGAAACTTCGACGTTTTCAAAACAACTCATCGGACAGAAGGTTGTCATAAAATACAACCCACACTAAAATCAATGACCTCTATTTGAAACCTGTTTTCACACTAACTCCATGGAAAGGATCTAACAGTAGTAGAAATTTCCGGTTTTATATGACGTTAATTACCGTGTTCACTGGTTCTTTCGATATCTTATTATGCACATTTAAAGAGTATAAATAAAAACAAGTGATGATTATGGCGTTGACTTTGCAACCACGCAGTTGAAATAAATTAACATTAGGGCCGATAAGGCATGTCTCATAGCAAAAGACGCATCAGGAAGTGGTCTGTATTCCAAGTTGGACTTCACCTTTCAGGATTTGTAGGAAGACGGTTGAGAGAAAACATTTCACATCTGCGGTTCGTTTCTCAAATAAAATCCCATTTGGTAACTTGCGGTTAAGCGAAGTACAAAAGAGTCTTAAAGTGAGAGGGACTCCCAGTAGACAGGTAAGAAAATTGAAAAGAAGAGAATGCTTAACTGTTTTCTCTTTTTAACCAGTGGTCCTTGTCCCTCGTACTTCTGCCCAGCCTTCACTCAAATTGCGTTGGAGGTGAAGATGCCCGTGGTAGTCTTCTGGTCTATGAGGCCGTGCGAACTTGTAGATGGGCACTGACGTTTCGGAGTAGTGTACTCTATCTATCTTCAGGGCTGCATCAGTACAACCAAGAAGACTACCGTCGACATTGGTATAAACATTACAAAAAATTGGAACTACGAGGTGCGATCGGAAGGTTTCCAGACTGCGCGTATAAAAACCCGTACACTTATCTCAGGTATTAAATTCATCCATCACCCTCGAAGTAGTTCCCCTGGGAGTGAACACAACGATCCCAGCGCCGCTGCTAAGCCTGGAAGCATCCCTGGAAATCTTTCTTTGTCAGCCTGTCAAGCACCATCTGCGATTCTGCCTGAATCTCTTGCCAAAGACTCGCCAAAACGGCTACGGAAACCTATGAAATGCTAAAGCAAGCATTTGGGGAGTCCGCAATGGGTCGTGCACAAACTTTTGTGGGGCATTCACGTTTTAAAAATGGCCCAACCTCTGGCGATGATGACGAGCGTTCTGGACGACCATCTTCGAGCACAACGCCCGAAAATGTTACGAAGATTCGGCAGGCCATTCACGAAGATCGACGTCGTACCATCAACGACTTGGTCGACATTGTTGGGATAGGCTATGGGACCTGTCAGCTGATTCTAAAGGAAGAACTCCACATGCGAAACCAAGGCTCCTGTCTGAGGACCAGAAGCAGAATCGACTTCTCGTTTGTCAGGAGCTCAAAGATCTTGCAAGAACCGACCCCAACTTCCTTTCTAAGCTCTGTGTGACTTCTTCCTCTTCCCAAAGATGAAATTTCAGCTAAAGGGAATTAGATTTGAGACGATAGAAGAGATTCAGGCAGAATCGCAGATGGTGCTTGACAGGCTGACAAAGAAAGATTTCCAGTGATGCTTCCAGGCTTGGCAGCGGCGCTGGGATCGTTGTGTTCACTCCCAGGGG